TACAAGCCCAGCCTGGGCAACTCTATGAGACCTGTCTCAAAACAAACAGCAAAAACTTGTCCAGGAAGCTATTGAGCAAAATGAAATCATACAGTATTTTTAAATAATGAAAAAAACATGTTACATATATCCATCATCCTATGCCTTTCTTTTCTTTCCCTCTTTTTTTTCCATCTTGAAAGTGATCATAACATACATGCAACTCAAAACTCTTCTCAATTGTTCACGCTAACATTAAACCATGGCTCTGATAATCCAGAAACCGAGGGAAGTTCAGAAATTACTCCTATTGCATTTTGGAATACCTTTTTCCAGAGGATTCCTTTTCCTAATTAGTTTTGCACAGGCAACTACAATGAGTTTGTTTTTTTATAGCACACACACAAAAGGAGGGAGGGATATGTTGGGTAACAAAGCCAGAAATTAATAGAAAATTTAAAGCAGGGACTGACTCCACAAAGTAAATGCTATGCATATGACTGCAGATTGAAATCTCATTTTACTATGTAGACAAATCGCTCTGGTATGATACAGCTTTGTAAGAAACACACCACTAACACATTTCCAGGATTTACACCATGAAGAAGAAAGAGGGTTATTCCTGCCTCTCATCTGGAAGCTCCAAGAGGACACAGTCCTTGCATGCCCTCGCCACCATTATACCCCAAGAACCTGGCAGAACCCGATGGCAGAAGTAAGTTCTCACTCTTGCCCACACCTACCCATTTCCCATTTGAAGCTCTCAGGAAACCTTTCCTGTCACCTACCACCACCATCCTCTGCTGGATTAGGTCCCCTTGTCATGAATTCTCATGGCAAGCAGGAACTCTGTGTGTCACACAGAGCACAATGATAATGACATGAGGATTTGTGTCTACTTCCAGCACTAATCTGCACACTCCTTGAGGGATGGCGTTACGTGAATTTGGGGGGTACTGTCATGCTCCTCCAACTTTTTATTTTGAAAAAATCTCAAACACAGAAAAGTTGGAATATTGTTCAGATGCCCTCAACTCGGAGTCAACTATTTTTAATCTCTGGAGCCATGTAAACTTTCTTCAATAAGTATATCCCCAGGAGAATTACAACTAATATTGGGGTTTTATTTTCCTTGCCTGGAATATAACATTACCTTTAGTGAGCAGGGTCAGCTGAGACAGGGCCGTTCACAGGGAAGGTAACTACCACTTGCTAGGAAGACCAGACTTCAGCAGCAATCTTCCTCTCAAAGGTGTGCAGTTTCTCTAACATAGATGCCCTAAGCCAACCCAACTAACTTTGTTTGCTTTTTAATTTTTTAAATTTTTATTGTTTTTTTATCTTTTTGAGGCAAGGTCTCACTATGGAGTTCAGGCTGGCATTGGCCTCACTCTGTAACCCAGGCTGGCCTCACACTCATGGCAATCCTCCTGCCTCAGCCTCCAATGCTGGGATTACAAACATACACTACCACGCCCAGCTCCCAGCTAATTTTGTATGGCAAAGTTAGTCCTTGCAAATTTTTTTTTAGCTGAGAGAATAACCATTAACTGGAAAGCCTCTGGAGAAACCAACAGGGTTTACTTTGTGGAACTGGATCAAGCCAGACTCAACCAGACTGTTCCTTTTGGGAGCCAGCACTGACAATATGCACCCCAAAACAGCTCAGTGTAAGAGGTAACGGATGTGGTTTTTAGACCTGCCATGTGCCTTGCAAGGTTATCTGGGATGAGTCATATAACCTTCAGAATACATATTAATAGCAGCTCAAGGCATCTCAGAGTTAGTTAAGTAGGTGGTGGGGCACCCCATTGATCTTTGGTAGTTTTCTGATTATCTCAGTGTGCACAATTTGTCTCTCCAATTGGACTGGAAACTTAAAAGTCACGAACTAAGTCTACTACTTTTTTTCATATACTTGATCTTATGGCTTGGGTCTAGAGGTCCCCCCAAAGCCTCATGCAATTATAGGTGGGGCTTTTTTAGAGGTGGCTGGATCTAGGCTGTGATGCTGGGACTGAGGATGCTGGAATTGATTCATGGTGCAATGCTAGAATTAAGGGTGCCCCACCCTGTGTGTGAGTGCTACCTGCCTTAAGGGTGGGCAGCCGAGATTAAATATAAGGGACAGAAAAAGGACTACTGCTTTTGTTTGCTACTTCATGGCCTTCCTGCTTTCTTCTTGCCATGAATTGTTTTTCCACTGATATCCCTCTGCCAAGCCACCCTGCCTTTGAAGCCAGCTGATTACGGAAGCCTCTACAAACCAAGAGCTAAATAAACTTTTTCTCCCTCAACTCTGAGTGTTTTATATTTTGTCTCAGCAATGAGAGAAAGTAACTAAAGCAGTTGACAAAGGCTACCCATAATGCTGGACATATCTGTCAAACAAATAAATGCCTATGGACATGACGGTAAAACAGGGCAATCATACAGAACCCTTTGCAGTGTTCATTCAAATAGGATGGAAATGAATTAGGCACACAAGAATTGAACTTCCAAATTTCATCCATGCCCAAATATAGGCCCAACCCAATGACTTTCTGGCCTGTATAATCACAAAGGATATTTAGCCACAGTGACTTGACTGCATTGGGCACACATGAACACACACACACACACACACACACACACACACACACACACTGGGGTGCTACTTGCATGACACCATGTCTCAGAGATTATTAAAAAGAACTCCTAAACTAGCCATACTTAGGCTTATTCACAAGTTTCTTTCCAAACCCTAGATGCATGTTCCTTGGAAGAAATCAGCAGCAACCAGCCATTCAAGGTCTCCTGAGTTAATTTCATCTTCCCTTAGTGAATTATAACTTCTTGCAGACACAAAAGAGAACAGAGAGACAAATGACACATAAATAAGAGCTTCACTGGCTTGGGGGGAAGGAGGCATGAACAGTGACGTCAGTTTTCCCAGAAACCCATTTATCATCATAACAAGGTCTCAAGTGCTTGGGCTGCTCTTTCAGCTTTAAAATCTGGCATACAGTTATGTTTCTCAGTGTACTGTACGGCAAGGCCAGCAAGAGCCTACTGGTGCCATGCAAAACAAAGTGGCCCTGAACCACCCTCCAGCCCTCATCTTCAGAACAAAAGGGATCTCTGGATTGTCTAAACTATGCCTAAGGGGAGATAACCTTCTGGAATGATCCCCTTGACAACATCTGTCCTGAAATCCTAATCTAGGCAATGGAGACCGATGAGACTCTATGGGCAGGTCGATGCAAATTCATTATCTGATGAGAAAAATCATTAGTGTCATTTTTGGTCACTGGAGATAAAGCAAGCATAATCCAGGAGATGAACTCCTACACTAAAGTATGCCATCTCTAAAATGCAGGTAACAAGGAGCTGAAACATTCTGAGCAGCCCTCAGAACACTAAAGCAATGGATATCACAGTACCAATCTTAGGGGTGAAGAGAATTCTTACATATTGCATCATTACAGGGACTGGCTCCCACCTACAACTTGTCCTTCCACATTGCATAAAGATCTCTCTGCTGGGTATGCAGGTAGTGCGGGAGGTTCCAAAGAAATGAGCCTGACCTTCTCCTAGACTGGGACAGGAGATGGAATAAACTCCTCCACCCCACAGAGAGAAAATACTGTCAGACTCTAAATTCAGATTTTGAAAACAAATCAATTGCAATTACATCAAATACCTACAGGCATTTGTTTGTTTGTTCTGCACAGGAATTGCACTGCATGGACTATTTCTCTAAATAAGTAAGCTATAAAGTTTAACATTATTTTTTTGTGGCTTGCAGATTTTCACAAAGCAGTATTTGGTGTAACAGGATTTAACCTACCTCTACCTCACTCTCCTGTCTCAACTTAGGATGTTGGTGTACTTCTTAAAACCCCAGGTGCCCATGGATGAATAGAAAAACTAGACTGCCCCCCCCCCAATCATCTCTCTTTGTAACCAAAGTTCTGGCATGAGGAAACAAACACGGAGCCTCAGGTCAATTCAGCATGATTTCTCTGTATACCCGAGGCTGGAAAACTTCAGTTTTTTAAATGAATGTTTTTTTCCAGAGTTGGTCGCCAACAAAGAGAGACGACATTGCTTTTGCAAGTTTCTCTTTTATATTCCTCAGTCCCCATAAAAAGAAGTTGGCTCCACAGAATTTAGCACACATGCCCACTTACACTGAACACACACTCAAGACGGACCCCCAGAGGTCCGCTCTGAAATATGCCAAAATACACAGCCAGCCACCTATAGACGAGTAAGCTGCACTCTACACAGAGGCACATACGGGACCCAGAAGCACACAACAGGAGCAGAGACCGCGGCATTCAGATGCGCCCATATACACTATAGCGGTGAACATACTCTAGGGTCACAGACACAACCAGAGCGCCACTACCGCCCGCCAAGGGAAGGCAGGAGGGCGCACGCGTGCACATATACGCGCATACACTGATAGACAGACGCAGTCACATATGTAATGCATATGGAGAAACCCTACTCCAACCAGTCACCTCCCAGCACCCCTCACACTCTCTACCTTCAGCCCCAGGCTAAGCCTAGCCCTGTGTCCCTCTTCTAGTACTAGCCACTAGCCGGAGTCTCAGCCCGCAGCTGTGCGCAGGGCCGCGGCAAGGCCAGGGGGCCCGGGACTGGGGCGGGGAGGAGGTCGAGGTTTGTGCGGCCATTCATTCGGCAACGCCCCTGCAGCGGGGCCGCAGCTGCAGCGGGGGAGGTGGTGGCGCTTACTGCAGCTCTCTGGCTAGGCAAGTTGAGTTGCCCGCTCGCAGGTTTTGCCAGAGCCCCCCCGACTGCCCGCCTGCCCGCCTGCCCGCCTGCCCGCCACTACAGTTCTCCACGATTGGCCGGGGGACCCAGCCGCCGACCCCGAGAGCCAAAGTCCCGCCATGCCTAGGCTCCTGCATGCTGCCCATTGTACCGCTCACGGTGGCCGTAAAGGCGGAGAAGTCTCTTGGGTACTCCTCCAACCCCTAGCCCAGGTTCTAATATCCAAGCCCCGCACTCACCACCTGGCGAGCTATATCGGTCGCTGCCATCGCTCCTGCGTCCGCCAGGGCTGCCACGGGTGCCGCCGCAGTGCGAGCTACTGCACAGGAAACAGAGGAGCTCCTCGACAAAGAGAAAGTGTTACACTTCGGGCGCGACCAAGTCCGGTGGGGGGAGGTGCAAGGGAGGGGCCCCCTTGCCGAGGCTCCAACCCCAACCTCTCTTCTATTGCCCACCCCCTCGGAAGGAGGGTGTGGGGAGGGGGCGGGTTTGCACAGCCTCCCCTTACAGGGAGCCCAGTTCCAAATCTTGCAACCCCAGCCGTAGGCCTCTACGAAGGGGGGCGGGGGCTCCCCTCGGTGACCACGTCCTCTGCCCCCACCCGCCACTGGGCTCCGTGGTACGTCCCGACCTCAGCTGAATTGTCACACCCCCCAGCTCTCCCTAGTAGCCCTAAATCCCCAGACCCCCGGACTGGGAGCCCCCGCCCCTCCCCCTCCCACCTCAGCTCTGTGGCTGAGCACTGCAGTCCTCTTCTCCCTCCGCCAGGATCCCCGGACCCACTCCTGCTCTCCACCGAGATCCCACGGCGTTTGGATGCTAGCGCTGGCGGCCGGCTGGAGTCTCAAAGCTCCACTGTGGTCCACCTACCCTCCTCCGCCCAAGGGCTTTACTGAGGCTGGGGGAGGGGGGGTGCGGCACCTGCAGCTTCACATTGGAGGTTAGAAAAGAGGCGGTTGGGGGAGGGGGCTGTGGCCCCATTAACTGAGCTGCGACTTGTGGAGCCTGAGGACAGGGGTCCTAAAATATCCCTGCTGCCCTGGGGTTTCCAAGCTTCGGGTACTGTAATTTCGTGAAGCCGAGCTCGCCACCATTGGGTACTTAATACAAACAGACTTCACACATGCTCTCTTCAACCCAGCTGTAGATGATTGGCGTGAGCACAGGCTCAGACTAACCACCCTTCTAGCTTGGGTCCACCGGCCAGACTCAGGAGACAAGGCAGGTCCGCAACTCTGCGGCACTGTAGGACAGGATGGAGGAGCAGGGGACAAGGAGCGGCCGAGGTGTGATTCTTTCAGTCTCAGTCTCTGTCTCTGAGCCTCTCTCTCTCTCCTCTCTTCCCTCTTATTCTCTCATTCCCGCTTAATTCTAATGCCACCCGGGACTATGTGGCCGGCATTGCGCATAAGAACTCCCCGAAGGCTAGGACTTTGCTCCCCTGTCTCCTTTGCTCCTGAACTTCTGCACCTCTCCAACCCTGGCGACCTCCCTTTTCCCCTGAGATTGGCCTCTTGCTGGCTCCCCTGTGACAGGCGAATCCAAGCAAATTTGGCTTGCCCCAGCTCCAAGCCGGCAGGACACTGCACTCTCCAAAAGGGTAGGATCCCTGGTCTCAGAGAAGGACCTGGGAATGGGGGGTGCAGACCTGTGGAAGGAACCCTGCTGGGAGCCCCCCCCCCCAAGATACAAAGATACCCAGCGAGGGAGCCGAGGGAGCCCTTGAGATGGTGGCAGGAGAGAGGAGAAGGAACCCCCCAGGAAAGAGGGAGAAAAAGGAGATCCAAGGAAATTGAGTGGCCACGTCGAAGCTTCCCTGGTCCTGGATTCCACTGGCAAGGCTTCTCACTCATTCAGGTGGCTCTGTATGTTCCTTGTGCACCTTGAGAAAAAGGACTCCCTGAAACCTGTCCTCAGTGCCAAATGCAGAACCTGGTATTCAGGAAGTGCTCCATTAAGTGTTTCCTGAGCTGAAGAGAGAGATTTTGGATGGGGAAAGAGTCCAGAAGAAAGAAGAGATACCAGGAGAGGGAAGCTATAGGGACTGTCCGGAAGAACCAAGTATTCAGTTGGTGTCCACTGGGCCTCATCATTGCTCTGCAGACCCAAGAGTAGCCTAAAAGAAAGCTTAGCACAAGCAGGGACCAGTATAGGGAAGTTCTGTGGGACAGATGGCACAGGCCCACAGGACAGATGGCGTAGGCAAGAAAGAGGGGTGGCTGGAGTTTCTGAGACCCTCTAGAGTGCTGAGACACAGCCTGAGAGAGGGACTGGGCCCTGCACTGGAATGGCAGCGACACTTGGAACCAGAGCTACATTTAAGGAACTGCAGTGAGGTTTGGCCCCCAACCGGATGGGGCGGGGAGTCAAGAGGTGACTGGCAGCTTCCCTCTCTGTAGTAGGGAGACACATCATCTCCAGCTAGGGCTGGAGTGAGGTGGTTGGGAAAGGGCCCCAGGAGGAGCTCTGTTGGTGCAAGGGGTTCAGATGGGGGCAAGATTAGAGCTGCTACCTGGAGAGATGGGCAGGTGGTAGCCCAAGACTGTGGGGCTCCCCAGGAATCCTACCTGCCTTCCATATCCCTTCACCCTTAGTTTCCTGCTTACAAAGCCCCTTACATTTTCTCCTAGCACTGAGACACCTTAACAGGGAATCCTTGGTGTCCTACCCTCTTGTCCCACACTCCAGCCTGTCCTTGGAGACTATCAGAACCTTGCAGAGGCTTCTTCCTCCAAAATGTGGGACTACACAGACCAAGACCAAGTGACTTGTCCCACAACTCTAAGACCTGCCATCTGCCTCTGCAAGCCTCTCCTGGGGCCTCAGCCTCCTGGTTTCCACTGGGTGCTGAGCACTGTGAGTGTTGGTGTTGATATGGAAGTAGACATGCATTTGTGAGTGTGTGTGTGTAAGCTGTATGTTTGCATGTTTATCTGTGTCAATGTGTGTCTTGGCTTATTCACCAGCTTATTTATGTGTGAGTATTTTCTGTGTATGTCTGCATATGAGGATAGGTGTGGATATATGCCAGTGTGCATATGTTGATGTGTTTCAGTGGTGTCTACATAAAGGTTTGTGTGACCGTAGTGTGTGATGGTATATTGGTGTATGTGCATGTACACATGTATGTCAAAGTATAGAGAGGTTTTAACTCACTGTATTCTGTATTTTACATACCTTACCTCAACCAAGGCAGTGGCCCAATTACTGTAGGATGTGAATTATAAAGTTCACTTCAATAAAGAGGTTTGGAAACTCCTCGGGTCCATGATTGCCAGTCTTTAGTCCCAGATCACCTCCACAGGTGCAGGGTACATGGAAGGGCTCAGAAAGTAAGAAGCCTCATCTGTGATGAATCGGTAGATTTTCTTCCTTGACTGTCTGTCCCCACTAGTGAGAAAAGTGGCAAGGTAACTTTTATGAAAAGGCATTTTGAAACTCAGCACTGCCATGAACACGCACGCATATTTAATGTGTCCTTGTGAGATCTCTTGGGCCCAGCACAGAGCCCAGGACGTGCTAGATCAGTGTTTGCTGAGTGAAGGAATGTACTGAAGCATGCAAATGGATCATTTTCAGTATTTCCACTGGGCTTAAGGAAGCTGGAGCAAGCCACAACTTCCCTAGGCCCAGCAGGTGACTGTCATTAGCATGCTAATGTTTGTGGAACCATACTCCCCCGCCTGTGAGGGGAAGTGGCTAACCTACCTAGATTAGACTGGGCCCTACTGGGAGCCAAACTTTACAAAGGTCATTCTGACAGCTGAAGCAGGCAGGGGCACTAACACCAGATAAAATGGAGCTGAGAGCTTGGAAAAAGTCTTTTTCCTAAAGCCAGTGGCTGTATAAAAGGAGAAAGAAAAGAACAATAGAGCTAGTCTCAAGTGGACAAGCCCAGAGAACATTGTGAAAAGTAAGGTCAGCAAGTTGGAGGAAAAAGATAAGGCAAGGCAGAAGAAAAATGATGTGGGATTAACCAAATTCAGACAGCAACAACTGAGTCAGAAACCCAGCTAAGGGGCAGAGTAAAGATGAACTGAAGATTACTTTTGTACCTTGTCACCTGCTGCCCCCTGTCTTACATTAGTTTATTTCAATGGCTCTCAAAATGGGGTCTTTGTCCAACAGCATCAGCTTCACTTGGGAAGTTAAAAGAAATTCAAATTCTCAGCCTCTCCTTCTCCTAGATCTACTGAATCACAGTCTCTAGGACAGGGACCCAGCAAAGTGTTTTTTATCAAGCCCACCAAGGGATTCTAATTTATTCTAAAGCTTTTGAATTTCTGGTTCATCTGAAACATCTAGCCCTGGTAAGATAGGACACGTGACTGGAGAGGATGGCAGGCTATCAAGGGAAGAATCTGAAACCTGGGCCATTGCTATCAGTAGCAATCCTGATGAATTTGCAAGGTAGGCTGCAGGAGAATGTGGAGTGCTTAGGGTTGGGGAAGGGTTGCTTAAAAAGGAGTATGGCACTTTGAACTATCTAATTTTTTGTTTTTGTCTTTTTCCTTTTTATCGGTACTAGGGATTGAACTCATGACTGCCTGCTTGCAAGGCAGGCGCTTATGCCACTGTGCTAAATCCCCAGCCCCTTGAGTATGGCACTTTGAGACCATAATGTTAAGTGAAATAAATCAGACACACAAGCTTAGATATTATATGGCTTCTCCTGTATGAGAAACCCAGAGTAAAAATAAAGAGCAAAATAAAAAATAGATAATAGGGGCTAGGGGGTCAGCTCAGCAGTATAAGTGCCTGCTTGGCAAACACGAGGTCATGAGTTCCATCACTGGTACCCCCCCAAAAAAAGATAATAGGAAGCAGGGAAATAGATGGTTCTCAGCAGTAAAAATGATCAAGAGATGGAGAGAGGATAGGAGGACAGAAAGGGGTAAGGGATGAAAAAATGAATTGGAGAGTATTATATTCATGTACCTACACCACACAAAGAACGTAAATATTATGGACTGCAAACATACCAAAAAAGGAAGGGGCTCAAGGAATGAGGGGTGGAGAGGAGGGAGGGAAGGGAAAGGGAATTAATGTGTTATTTGCATGTACAAGCAATGTAAACATGTACTACACATGTACTAATGAACTAAATAGATAAATAATATGCATACCCATTGTAAAGGAAAAGAAAGGAAGGTAGGGGACCTCTGTAGAGAGTAGAGGGGTTCTGAAGATACTTTTCTTTAGTTTTACATTCACTCCACAAATATTTGCTGTGTCTCAACTGCATATTAGTGACTGTACCGAGTGCCCGAGGACCAAAGAAGGAACCCCTATCTCAACCTTCAGGTCAGTTGCCAGATAGCTCCAGAGATAACCAGAAATGTGATACGGAAAATAATTGGTCAGGAGCAAAACCCTGGGGAAGAAGAGGCCCAAAGAGGTGAGGGAAGTCACCTCAAAGAAGTCATTTGGACTGAGTCTTCAAGAAGGAGTAGTGGTTTGTCTGGCAGGCAAGGAGAGAGTAGAGGAACAGCATGTGTAAGATTACAGAAAGGGCAGGGCTAGGACATAG